GGGGGGGGGGGGGGGGGGGGGGGGTGACGGTATTTATTTTGTTGCTACCATTTCTCCGTGGCTTCATTCCAACTGCCTTTGAGAATCATACAGCAAAGATTAGAAACGAATGACAGCATCAGCCATAGTAGCGCCATCCACCAGTGGCAGGCCCAAACTAAACGCCCCCCAAATGTGTTCTTCCCGTGGAAACTCATCAGGGCAGTGGCAGTCTGTGTACAGGAGGGCAAGCTGTTCTCCATTGAGAAGGCTCAACTACAGGGTCCCTGCTGATGGAATTCACTAAATATTTTACATTCACACACACAGAAGTGAAAAGTAACTATGTATTTCAGCATTTCTCCCAGTGGCTCTGATTCTTTTGTAAGTGGCTCTTGCAAGCCTTGGGCTCCTTTTTTCTTTCTGAGCATTGCCCTAGTTTTGTTATTTATTGATTAAAATTATTTATGTGTTAGCTTGTATGCCATTTTCCTGCATGAGCTCAAGGTGGGGTATGTTAGGCACTCCATAGCCATGCCAAAATCCAAAGTCACAATTTTTTGTATCTTTTTGCTACCATCCAGTGGTGCTAGAAATTACTACAGCTCAGTTTTGGTATGCCTAGCCTACGTAGCACTTTCCTTTTTTCTTTTTTCCCCTTCCACAACTACTCCATGGGGTAGGTTGGGCTGAAAGAGCATGAGTGGCCCAAAGCTTACGTGACTGATGGTAGACTTGAACCTGGGGCTTCTTCATCCCAGCACAACATCTTGACTACCTTTGTTAGTCTTGAAAGTTTCACAAAGCTCTTCTGATGTTTCCAGACAAGGCTGTTACCATGCAACAACCTTCCCTCAGTGGTGGAATTTTGCAGGAGATCCAGATGTCATCATTTTCCATTTGTAATGTAATTTTACCCTTTCTTCCAACTCTTCTCATACCACACGCACAAATTTGTTAAGGAGGGAAGAGTGGAGTAATTACATGGTGCCTTTTGACTTGTCCATCTGGAGATGTGCTTTTACTGCAACAGTTTTACAGGCCTTCTGAAAGTGATTTTTGTTCGATACTCCTACAGTTAAATGTAAACTTCTGATACCTATAATACCTAGAAACAATATGGAGCTATAAGGACATCTTAAGGTCAAACTGATGAACTGCAGCCATTTAATTAAAGTGGAATGTCATAGCTCTTTATGCATTGAAATGCCTTTTTTTTTTCCTTACGCTTTTTGCACATCCTCACTGATGAAGAGCTCTGGAAAACGTGAAAGCGTGCAAAATATTTTGTGTTAATTTTATTTAATCCTAATAAATATCTTACCCATAATGGATTTTGGATCCTTTTTTTTTCTTAGATGACCAACACTGCTCATTTATTTATTTGTTCATTTTTTTAATGTGACTTTCTATATTGTAATTACAGGTCTGTTCTCTGCTACATTCCTTTCTGGTATTGAAACTGGCTGGAAAGTCTGACCATTTCCACTTAACAAGTCTTCAAATGTTTCCATGGTAGTAGTTATTGGGCATTAGCATACCACAACAACACATTTCAACAAGCCATTTTTAAAATGTGGGATACTCACTATTAGGATTGTATGATATTCCAGATTCCATTCAAGAGGGGTCCTTCAGGAAGCACGGAGCTATGGGATCCTGGAAACTGAGGCATCTGCTTTCATGAGCCGCAAAGAGGCGCTGTGTTGATGCTCCCCTACATTCAAAGCACCTCTTCCAAACTGAATCCAAAGCACTGCACAGCCCTACTTGCTTTGCAATTGAACAAAATAATTCTAGAAAGAAACAGAGAAACAAAATAAGCATCAGCTTCTCCAGCACTACTGACCTTGCTGAACATGTACTTCCAACACTGTACTGTACATGTAGGGACCATAATTGAAAGGGGAAATACTTCAGTGTTGCTGTTTGACTGCTTAGACCAGCCTCCCTCAGTATGGTATCTTCCAGATGTGATGAGATTATACCTCACTGAATTTTCAGACATCCTGCTTGTGCTGGCTGGCAGTGTTAGGAATTACTGTAATTTCATCACATCTAGAGAGCATCAAGTTAGGGAGAACTATCTTAGATGTTTCGTCTAGCACAAAGGGAGATACAAGATTGCGCAGCACTTTGGATTCAAAGGCAAAAGGTGCTTCAGATCCTGTGTGAGCACACACATAGCCCTTGCTGGTGACTCCTCAAACCAAACTTCTTTTCTGGGATCGTGCTCCCTAACTCTTTTTGTCTGTTTTTGCCCCTGCTGGTGGGGGAGTTGGCTGCTGTTCTCTCTAGATGAGATTATCTTTGGGGTTTTATTGTTGCTTTTATTGTCTTATATATGCTATATGCCAATCTACCCAGAGTTGTCAGAGTTGGGTGGCCTAGAAATTTAATAATACATTTAATTAATAGATAATCAGCCCCCTATCCTCTCCAGCTGTTCCTCCCAATATGGAAGCAGTGTGATTGACGAACATCAGTGGTACAGATTCTCACTACGCTGAAGTTGGAAACAAATTAAAACTCTACTGCCCTAAGGAAAGTTTAAAGCATTAAATACACAAGATACTAAATCCCCAACAGAAAAAAAAAAATCATTGTAGCACCCCTACTTATTTATGCGATGAACACTGGCCATGATGTACAATTGCAGTATGCCCACGATGGTCCTTTTCCCCCCAGATATGTTGAGAATGTCCCAAGAGCACCAAAAGATTGCTCATACTTTGTTCTAGAGGATTGAGGTGTGCTAAGCAAAAGATTCTTTTCTTTTTCAGAGCTTTTCCATCAGAACAAAATGCATTTAAAGCAATTTAGCACAGAATGAGGATATGCAGATATAAGCAGATCTCTGAAATTTTTGAAGTGGAACATCAAAGTTCTGTTTGACTTGTTTTAACAAAAAGATCAGCAAAATCAACCCCTAGAATAAAATGTAGGAAAAACAAGCTTAATTCAGAGCTGGCATTCCAAGCCAATATGTGACTTAGTACTCTAAGGGCATGCATGCCAATCACACCTAATTCTGGATTGTGGATCCTGGAATTCTAGTTTTAAAAATATTAGCAAACACCTGTTCTAAGATCATTTTGTGTTGGAGTAGTTAAGTGCTCAATGTTAATAGCAGAATGACTGGAACAGAT